TATGTGGGCGAAATCAGTTTTATTTTAATTTCATCAATATTTTGTGAAGTGTTAACATTAGTACAGTCAAATCCCGGGTTAATACGGACACTAAGGAGGCCATAGGAAGTATCCGTACATGCTATATTCTTATTAACATGCTGTCCGTATTAAGCGGGTAGAATTTAGAGAAAATATAGGAGTTTTCTTTCCCCAGGGACAAAGCAAACTGTCAGTAATAAAGAGGTGTCAGTATCATAAGCGGGTAGTTTGCGTAGCAGGCGAAGGTATTTTATATTTTACTGGCCGCCTTAAGGGATTCTTTCTTCGCCTTAAAGGCTGGTTTTCACTTGCGACGGAGTCGGAATCGGGAGCGGAGTTGTAAGAGCGCTTATGACTTATTGAAAGTCAAAAATCGGAGTCGTGACTAGAGCGTCAAGATAAGCGCGACAGAATCGAAGTCAGAAAAATCAAAACGCCTTCCATTTGCTTCCGACTCTGCTTATGACTCCGTCTCTTACGATCTAGTGAAAACCAAATTGTTGGAGTCGGAAGCAGAAGCGGAAGGATAAACCAATCACAATGCACGTTCCCATTTCTCGTTTCACCAGTGTCTCTTCTCTGAGTTTACAGAAAGTATTTAGTGTTTTTTTCCTCCTCATTGTACCATCGTAATTTAGATCTTAAAATAGCCCCTTTTGTCTGATATTCGATTACGGTTTCAAGCTCCCGTCTTTTCTTTTCTGACTCTGACCATACATTCGAGCAGTCAGTGACATCAATGTCAGCGGTCTGCTCCTCTAGGGTTTTGCTTGTTTATTCTTTATCATTTTGTTTATGAAATATTTTTCTCTTATTTATTTGTCAAACTCAATTGATGTCTCTCTAATTTTCATTTTTATCATTTCCCACGGTAAGTTTGGAGTGACAGTATTATCCTGTGCATCTTCATCTTTAGTTTGAGTTATAATGGATTGTATTTTCTTTATATTCTTGTATATTCTTTATATTCTTCGTCCTTTAGGAAGGAGGTATTTAGTTTCCAGAAGCCCCGTCCTCTCTCGCGTTATACGTCGATATTTGCAATGACACCAGTGAATGATCTGTATTATAACCAGGGACGATGTCTGTTTTGATTGAGTTGCAAGATGTGCATTGACTTACGAGAAAAAATCAAGTCTGCCTTGTATTTCGGAGTTCTTTTGTCTCCATGTAAATCGTCGTTGTTCAGGGTTTTGTATTCTCCAAGCCGCCAATTTTTATCTTTCTAAACATCCAAAACTAAATTATAATCCCCGCCAATAAATGACCTCTTGGCACTAAATAATCTGCTCTCCGCTCAAAGACCGAGGTAAAAAAATTGGGTCGTCATTGTTTGGAGCATATAAATTTGCCAACTGAAGGTTAATTGTTTCCAATTTGTAATCAAGTCACAGATTATATAAAAGCGTCCCCTAGGTTCGCAGTATGTTCTCGAAATTTGACAGTTGAAAGTAAGTATTGTTAAACAATATGATAACACCTGCCTTTCTGCTAGAGCAGCAGCTGAAAAGGGCCTGATAACCGGCCCCATTCAGCTCGCCAGTCATGCATATTATTTTCAGTACAATGAGCTTCTTGAATAAAATACATGGCCATTTGTTTTTTCCGCAGCCAATTAAAGAATTCCCGTCGCTTCATTCTGTCTCTTAATCCACTAGCATTAATTGAACCAATTGTAAGATCCATTTCTTTTGTTGCTGTGAAGAAAAAAGAAACTGGCAACTTTCACCCAAAGAAAAACGGGGGCACCCAACGAGAATATAGTTCAAAACCACTTACACATAGCATTGTTAAACGTATTTTAGTATTTAAACGGTAGATATAGGCATATTTTTATCCCCTAAAAATTTTTCCTCTGTTCGGAGTCTAGTGATCCGATAACTATAAGGACCAAAACTTACCTTTTCTAGGTGACCTTTTTAGGGTAAAAATCCGTTAAAAATGGGCAATTATACCACTTTTTTAGATGTTCGAAAATCCTAGGAGAGGCAGGCAAGTAAGAAATTTTACAACAAATGTTCCCAAAATTCTAGATCTCAAATCGTCTTCCGAACCGATATTTTCAGAAAATTGACGTTGGGTGCTCCTGAGAAAAATAGCATGACAGATTATTCCGATTTGTGCAAATGAGATATAGAGCGTCGACCGGTTTAGTACAAAAAGGTCTAAAATGAAGATATTTCAAAGCACGGAAAGCAAGGCAAAATAGAAAAAAAAAATCGAAAAAAACTTAAAGACAAAGTTAAAGTGTTTTCTTGCTGGGTGGTCGCTTTGCATCTCTAAGGAGTGACTAGCCGCAAGAAAATAAGAATAGTAAATTTGTCCCCCTAATACAATTATGAAACAGTCTCAGAATTAATGATCATTTTTTTTGTCTACAGGCCACAATCGACCTCTAAATGACTTATCAGGTTCCGATAGACTGAACGGAATGCAGGAATGCTGTTTTTTCTGGCCTCTTTGAAGGTCTTCCTCTGCTCTTTGCGTCTTCTGACAATTTCTGCAGGATAGTCGCTGAACATTTGGAAGTCGGTTTCTCTTAATCGGTGCCCGAGTGAAAATATTTTCTGGACATCCTTGTATCTCAGAAAACGGACCAACGGGCCAGTATTGGCCGGGGCTTTCCATTCTTGCTTTTTCCACTTCGATGAACTCTTTGCATTTTCACATCACTTTGGACATCTTCGGGTTCATCGGAGGAGCCATCTTCTATGTTCATAAACCTGATGTTCTCTCTTCTGGAATAAGCCTCTACGAGATTTTTTTGCTGTAAGTTCCTTTAATAACTCTTCACTCGCCTCCGCCTTTTGCGTTAAATCAGTGATTGCGACTTGGTGATTCATAAACCTGATGTTCTCTCTTCTGGAATAAGCCTCTACGAGATTTTTTTTGCTGTAAGTTCGTTTAATAACGCTTTACTCGCCTCCGCCTTTTGCGTTAAATCAGTGATTGCGACTTGGTGATTTTTTAGCTCAGTCGATATTTCAGATAACTGTGAGCTGGTTAGATTTCCATTCTCTTTAAGACCATTAATGTCTTTCTCCGTAGTTTGTCTGAAATTTTCCAATACTGCTGTACGCTCTTCTAGAGCTGAGCTTTGTCTCGATGCTTTTAACAGATGATTTTATCACGTCGAGCTTTTTTAAACGTTGGAGGATTTCTTCCAGCTTTTCTTCCATGTTTGCTGTCATATCTAGCACGGTTAAGACTGTGTCTTCTTCAGCCATTTCCAGGGACACCCAAAGTCAATTTTCGGAAAAAATCTGTTCGGAAGACGATTTTCGGAACATTTGTTGTAAAATTTCTTTCTTACCTGCCTCTCCTAGGATTTTCGAACATCTGAAAAATGATATAATTGCCCATTTTTAACGGATTTTTACCCTAAAAAGGTCACCTAGGGGATAAAAGGGGATAAAAATATGGCTATATCTACCGTTTAAATGGTAAAATGCGTTCCACAATGCTGTGTTTCAACGGTTTTGAACTACACTCTTTTTTTATAAGAATATTGTTTTCCCGGGCCAGGCTGAATATTCTTATTTTTCTGCCGATTTTAGGCTGTAAATATTCTTGTATTATTCTTAATAATAGCTTATGACATTTCCGTTTTAGAATATATTAAGGTATCAATTATAGTTTTGTTAAATATAGTTAGCTGAGGGTCGTACAGGGGTATTCCCGTGATGCGTGATTTGCTGATTTTATTTTCCCTGAAACGTGAATTTAATAAATTATTCTTCGTGATCCGTGATCTGAAGGTTTTGCGTGACCCGTGAAGAACTTGAATTATTAACCGATATTCGTGAAAGATGCGAGTGCTCCGGAAGACTTATTTTAAGACTGAAAACATCAAATGTGACAAGTAACAGACTTCGCTTTAATTAAAGTAATCCATTGTGCAAATTTACGTGCTTTACATGCCAATCATGGATCAGGCCCTGGTTGTTCAAACGTTGGATAGCGCTATCCACCGGATAAATCGCTATCCAGCGGATAGCGTAATTGATTTGCGTAATACTTATCCGCTGGATAGTGATTTATCCGGTGGATAGAGCTATCCAACGTTTGCATAACCGGGGCCAGACGTCTATTCCTATGCCTATGGTAAACACACAGGTAAACCAAGCGGTTCTCAAGGAACTATTTCTAAATCAGACAAAGCGTTCGGTTAACATGATATTAAATGGACTGAAAGATCTGGAGGCGTTAGTTAAAGAACATAATCCAAGCTTCGCCATCGATCTGTACTCTTGTCTAACAGTTCAGGTTGAAATCATTTCAAGGACCCTACGCTACCCTTTTGCAGTACGCACGGAATCTGGCAAATACCGGGTAGTACTTGGTGTAAGACTGCCCAAAATGTCCCGGGCCACCGCCCACCACTGTTAGTGCTGTAGTGGCTGTGCCCTAGTAGACGCAATAATACCTGTGGTAGCTGTAGCACTGTAGTACCTGTAGTACCTGTAGTAGCTGTAGTAGCCGTAGTACCTGTAGTAGCTGTAGTATCTGTAGTAGGTGTATTGCCTGTAGTAGCTGTAGTACCTGTAGTAGCTGTAGTAGCTGTAGTACCTGTAGTAGGTGTAGTACCTGTAGTAGGTGTAGTAGCTGTAGTACCTGTAGTATCTGTAGTACCTGTAGTAGCTGTAGTAGCTGTAGTACCTGTAGTACCTGTAGTAGCCGTAGCACCTGTAGTAGCTGTAGTAGCTGTAGTAGGAATAGTGCCTGTAGTACCTGTAGTACCTGTAGTAGCCGTAGCACCTGTAGTAGCTGTAGTAGCTGTAGTACCTGTAGTACCTGTAATAGCTGTAGTAGCTGTAGTAGGTGTAGTACCTGTAGTAGGTGTAGTAGCTGTAGTAGCTGTAGTGCCTGTAGTACCTGTAGTACCTGTAGTACCTGTAGTAGCCGTAGCACCTGTAGTAGCTGTAGTAGCTGTAGTACCTGTAGTACCTGTAGTAGCTGTAGTACCTGTAGTAGGTGTAGTAGCTGTAGTAGCTGTAGTAGGTGTAGTAGCTGTAGTAGCTGTAGTACCTGTAGTAGCTGTAGTAGCTGTAGTAGCTGTAGTACCTGTAGTAGGTGTAGCAGCTGTAGTAGCTGTAGTAGCTGTAGTAGGTGTAGTGCCTGTAGTACCTGTAGTACCTGTAGTACCTGTAGTACCTGCAGTAGCTGTAGTAGCTGTAGTAGCTGTAGTAGGTGTAGTGCCTGTAGTAGCTGTAGTACCTGTAGTAGGTGTAGTACCTGTAGTACCTGTAGTAGCTGTAGTAGCTGTAGTAGCTGTAGTAGCTGTAGTAGCTGTAGTGCCTGTAGTACCTGTAGTACCTGTAGTAGGTGTCGTAGCTGTAGCACCTGTAGTAGCTGTAGTAGGTGTAGTAGCTGTAGTAGCTGTAGTACCTGTAGTACCTGTAGTAGCTGTAGTACCTGTAGTAGCTGTAGTACCTGTAGTAGCTGTAGTACCTGTAGTAGGTGTAGTAGCTGTAGTAGCTGTAGTAGCTGTAGTAGGTGTAGTGCCTGTAGTAGCTGTAGTACCTGTAGTACCTGTAGTACCTGTAGCCTGTACCTGTAGCTGTAGTAGCTGTAGTACCTGTAGTACCTGTAGTAGCTGTAGTAGTAGTGTGTAGTAGCTGTAGTAGCTGTAGTAGCCTGTAGTAGCTGTAGTAGTGTAGTAGGTGTAGTGCCTGTAGTAGCCTGTAGTACCTGTAGTAGTAGCTGTAGTACCTGTAGTAGCTGTAGTAGCTGTAGTACCTGTAGTACCTGTAGTAGGTGTAGTACCTGTAGTAGGTGTAGTAGCTGTAGTAGCTGTAGTAGCTGTAGTAGGTGTAGTGCCTGTAGTAGCTGTAGTACCTGTAGTACCTGTAGTACCTGTAGAAGGTGTAGTAGCTGTAGTAGCTGTAGTAGCTGTAGTAGGTGTAGTGCCTGTAGTACCTGTAGTACCTGTAGTACCTGTAGTAGGTGTAGTAGGTGTAGTGCCTGTAGTAGCTGTAGTACCTGTAGTAGGTGTAGTACCTGTAGTAGCTGTAGTAGCTGTAGTACCTGTAGTACCTGTAGTACCTGTAGTAGCTGTAGTACCTGTAGTAGGTGTAGTACCTGTAGTACCTGTAGTAGCCGTAGCACCTGTAGTAGCTGTAGTAGGTGTAGTAACTGTAGTAGGTGTAGTAGCTGTAGTAGCTGTAGTACCTGTAGTAGCTGTAGTACCTGTAGTAGGTGTAGTAGCTGTAGTAGCTGTAGTGCCTGTAGTAGCTGTAGTAGGTGTAGTGCCTGTAGTAGCTGTAGTAGGTGTAGTGCCTGTAGTAGCTGTAGTACCTGTAGTAGCTGTAGTAGCTGTAGTAGCTGTAGTAGCTGTAGTAGGTGTAGTAGCTGTAGTAGCTGTAGTACCTGTAGTAGTTGTAGTAGGTGTAGTGCCTGTAGTACCTGTAGTACCTGTAGTACCTGTAGTAGCTGTAGTAGCTGTAGTAGCTGTAGTATCTGTAGTATCTTTAGTAGGTGTAGCAGCTATAGTATCTGTGGTATATGTAGTAGCTGTAGCAGCCTTAGTAGGGGCGTCCAGTGGTGTAAGGAATTGTAAAGATTCCTTTCTACCTTCCAGCCAATTTTCCAAGCATTCATATCGACTAGTCTCACTTTCAAGTGCCGCTGCACCGCAACATGAAGGAATCTAGACCCAGCAATATGAGGTTCATGGGATCGTTATTAGCAGCAGAGTGGCCAATGCGTATTATATAAATTTGATGAATAAAAATACGAAATCTGTTGAGTATACATTTTTGTCGAAAATTAGCTTAAGCGGGCTTCAAAGCTATTTCGCATTATTTCGGGTTCAACGGGCTTATCGATTTGGTCAATCGACCAAACTTGGGGGATTATTAGGAGTAAGCCGGTGAAACCGAGTCCATACTCAAAGGGATTAATATAAACGACGGTCGATTTAATGGGCGAGAGAATATATAGAATATAAACGTAGGTATGTGAGTCCTGAATGGAACCTTCTACAAAGTACAAAAGACGATTTGCACAAGCTTATGAAAGGAACATCAAGGTTCACACACATTTGATCAAGTTAGTGATATATAGAAATATTTTCTAGCTTTTATCTTTTTACGCGACCTCTCTTGTTCTTACGACTGTGGTGTCCCATGCTCAATTGCACAAAATTGACCCGGCGAGGCTACCAGGGGCACCCAAAGACAATTTTCTGCGAAATATCTGTTCGGAGAAGCAAATATTGCCAAGAATTTTCTTTTGCTTGAGGAAGACTAAAAATTTCTAGATGGACCTTCCATTCATAAACAATTTTCGATGCTTTATACCTAATAAATTCCCTACGAATTCTGATTTTTAATGTTTCAAAATCAGTTCCCACGTTACAATATTTTTTTAAAAAAATGGTCACCTAGACTTTTTTGGATTCTAAAATGTGATGGGGAGAGGTAACCAGAAAAATCCTCACTTTCGTAAATCGTTAAATTGCAACTAAAATTTTCGAAAAAGTAACACTGAAGCCTTTGTATTTTTGAAAACTGACTTAAGTTCCTCTAGGATGACCGGTCAGACCGGTAGGGCTTTCCATAAGTTGTTCGAGATTTTCCAAAAAGTTTCTCATTATTTCTCAAACAAATGCTCAAAAGTTGCCAAAAACAATCAAAAGTTGCTTATTGCAACAAAACGTACTCAAAAGTTGCTCGAAAAACAAAATCTTTGTTTGGTCTGAAGTTATGAAAATATGCAAATTGTACAAACAAAAGTAACATTTCTTAGCATTTTTGTGCAATTTTTCAGCACAACCAGCTTTGCTTAATAACTTTGTCCGGAGTTAAAATCACGAAACAAATGTAATGAGCCAAGAAAAATGCTTAATGACTTTCTTCACCCGAGACACTCGAGTCAGTCGGGTGAGAATCTGCGTCAATCATTTAAAATTTTCTGTAAACACCGCTGACTTATCTTGCGCCCTCAATGTGCCTCATGGGAGGAGTATTTGTCTCCTTTTTTCTACTGGTAATTTGCAAATTGTCTACAAAACATTGTGAAATATGGAACAAAGGCTAATTTGAACACTACGAGCTGCTCCGATATCACAGAATTAGATGATAAAGTTCTAGAGAAATCTTAATGTTTGCGTGTGAACCAAGAATGTGGGTTAGAGCGCAGCTGCTTTAACTGTGGAAATTCTAACATGAGGAAACTTAAAAGGGGTAATGAAAAAACAGTATCCAGTCCTACACAACTCAAACGTAAGCGTGAGCGTCCATCACCGTACAAGAAAAGAAAAAGCGCTGAGTATTTGTGCTTGCAAGGCGCACATCCTGTAGATGGCCCATGGACTAATCACGAGACTTGTCTTCTCTTCTGTGTCACCTCCCTCATAGAAGCCACTATAGTGACGCCATCGGTAGAAAATATCTCAGCCTTGTTTAATTACGTCACGGACTCAAAAATTTGCAAAGATAACAATTATGCGTTAAGGAGGAAAAAACAGTCACAGGTGTCCGCGAAGTTAAAAATACTAAACGAAAAAAAAGAATTGGAAATCGCGTTATCAAGTTAACAACCACTGTTCACGAAAGAAAAATAGACATCATCTAGATTGGCTACTTTCCATGAAGGAAAAACACACACTTCTTCTTATTTCAAACATCCCACGAAAGGCAAGCCAGGGCCCTGACTATTTTACTGTAAGGGATGAAAGACTGTTCAAATTAACGATTGCAATGTTTCAGGCTAAGGGCCAGGCAGTATTCTCGTCCCCACAGTTTCGATTGGATCCTTTTGGACAGTGTCGGTGATTGAGAGCTGTCCCCGACGAAAAGTCGGAGAGAGAAACTCGAAGCTCTGTTGTGTGTCCCTTGGACATGGCTAAGACTTCCTGGGAGCTTTTAAATACGATTTTACACTTAAAATAAATGGAGAACATGGGTAACTGAGTACAACAAGTAACGCATTCGTTATAAATAGTAGTTGTCCGAAGAAGTTCTTGTAACTTCCGTATGCATCAATTGTCAATTCCCCGTCATTCTTTATTGTGGGAAGAAGAGGTTAAAGATGTTTTCTGAGTGATTTGAATCGGTCATTTAAGCAAAAGGAGAGAAGCGCAAATTCACGTTTGACGTCAGTAAAATATATGAGAGAAGTCACGCGTCAAGGTAATTTTAAAAACCTCATTTCACGATATATTGGTAATAAAAACTGTAAAAATTTGAACTGGCTTTCTAGGTGATAAAAACGTTTTGAATGAAAAGTTTGGAGTTTCGGTTTCTGTTCAGCTCTGTTTCTGACTGATGGAGTTCTGTTGAAGCTGAAACGTTTTATGGCTGTGAAAATAAAGCTTATTGTTGTTGTTGTTCTTGTATGTTGACAGACCAGTATATAAGCAGACGTAGACTGAGTATCAGGCCTTCTCAACCTTATCTCTTCCCCCTTTTGCCCAGAACCGCCTAATAATCGAAATTAAAGCGGACATGGCACGATGAAGCTTTTGGTATGAAGAAGCACGTTAACTCGACCAAAGGTGAAGAAATTTAAGAATAAGAAATCACACCATAATAAATGACGTTAACGAAGCCACCTTTAAATCACTTTTCCCTGTCTATATCAAAGCCTTTGATCCTTAGGTAGATTATGGTACAACTGTATCTATTGGTTCAGATTTTAGGCACTTTCGGGCTATAAAAGTTCAGCTATTCCACACTTGGTAGTATTGTTGGGCTAGAGTAGTGTACTATGTTGAAAGACAAGCCCTGTTGGTGGGTTCCCTAGTATTCACATGCGCAAGGATCTAGTTCAAGAGGGTCCAGTGGTGCCTAACCCTGATCCAAAAGAATGACTTGTCTTTGTTTCCCGCAACCAATTATGAAAGACCTTCCGAGCAGCTCCTACACTACTCGTGTAGGACATCACCCATTATTATAACCAGTTAAAAAAGTAAGTTCCTGCAAACAAAATAAGTGAGTTCCTCCATATCTAATGGGCGTCTCTCTTATACAATAGGAATATTGGCTTGCCCGCTCTATACCCACCTGATTGACTCATGTAGAAACTATTACGTGTTCAAACTGAAGGCAAGCTCTCCATTCAGCAAGTTTAATAGAGCGCTACACCTCCGTTAGCGATTGATGAAGTAGAGAAAGTCCAGCGCTGCGCTGCGACTGCCCTCTGAATTTTTGGCATTGCTTGTCTTAGGTGTCTTGTCATCTTATTACATTGCCTTCCGATCCAACCCGGAGCTAGTTTCCAGTCCTCTTTTTGGGTGCTTGGCCACTATATTTCGCGTTATACTACGCATTAAAAATGTTTTTACAAGCTTAATTACATCAATTCAGTCCAGTGAATGCCTTTAGTTGTAAAAAATGTCCAAGTTTGAAAAGACAATGGTGTCATCGGAAAACTGTTATAAGCCACCTTAAATAGACAATGATAACTAATATAAAAGAGAAGGCCCTTCAGGCGTTTTCTAGTATTCGGAAGCAGACACGACAGTTCTTAACGAACTTAATCCTGATACCGCATCCCAAATTCTTGACACAATGATATTCACTGGATATTCCCCATCTTAAATTACAACAGCGAGGATGTGGGGGATGTGCACCGAGCAAGATTTTAAAAAAATGGGATAGTTCCCCAATAGAACAAAATTCACCTAAAATTCTTTAAACGTTATTTACAAGTAAACAATAAGGCCTCTAACATAGCTTGCAGAGCTAAACTTGGTAGATTGCCGCTGCTTATGCCGAGAAATCAAAACATTATGAACTATTTTGTTTATCGAACCACCAACGATAAGGACTCTATAATCAAACAGTCTTTCCTTATGTCAAAGAATCTAGATTCTATGAATAATTTAGGATATTATTGCAAATTCATAAACATGTTTGAACAATACAATCTAACCAGTTTAGATACAGAATCTTTAGATAAAGATAGAATTGGACGATATACCACAGAAATGAGAGAGAAATATCCGCTATCTTTTTTGCGACACAGTCTTGAAAATTAAAAAAAAATGGAATTTTATAAAACTTTTAAAGATGAATATGCTACAACTGATTATCCCTACCAGCTAAGACATTATGATGAATGACAATATTTTGGTCAAGTTTAAAATAAGTAATCACAAACTTCTGATTGAACAAAGTCGATACCAAATAGATCATTTGTCACCTACTACTACACCTACTACAGCTACTAGAGATACTACACGTACTACAGATACTACAGCTACTACACCTGCTACAGGTACTACACCTGCTACACGTACTACAGATACTACAGCTACTACAGGTACTACAGCTACTACAGCTACTACACCTACTACAGGTACTACAGGTACTGCAGGTACTACAGTTACTACACCTACTACAGCTACTACAGCTACTACAGCTACTACACCTACTACAGGTACTACAGCTACTACACCTACTACAGCTACTACAGGTACTACACCTACTACAGGTACTACACCTACTACAGGTACTACAGCTACTACAGCTACTACAGGTACTACACCTACTACAGGTACTACAGCTACTACAGCTACTACACCTACTACAGCTACTACAGCTACTACAGCTACTACAGGTACTACAGCTACTACAGGTACTACAGCTACTACAGGTACTACAGCTACTACAGCTACTACAGGTACTACAGCTACTACAGCTACTACAGCTACTACAGCTACTACAGCTACTACAGCTACTACAGGTACTACAGGTACTACAGCTGCTACAGTGCTACAGCTACTACAGGTACTACACCTACTACAGCTACTACAGCTACTACAGGTACTACAGCTACTACAGCTACTACAGGTACTACAGCTAGTACAGGTACTACAGCTACTACAGCTACTACAGGTACTACACCTACTACAGGTACTACAGGTACTACAGGTACTACACCTACTACAGGTACTACAGCTACTACAGGCACTACAGCTAATACAGCTACTACAGCTACTACAGGTACTACACCTACTACAGGTACTACAGGTACTACAGGTACTACAGGTACTACAGCTACTACACCTACTACAGGTACTACAGGTACTACAGGTACTACAGCTACTACAGCTACTACAGCTACTACAGCTACTACAGCTACTATACCTACTACATCTACTACAGGTGCTACGGCTACTACAGGTACTACAGGTACTACAGCTACTACACCTACTACAGGTACTACAGCTACTACAGATACTACAGGTACTACACCTACTACAGGTACTACAGGTACTACAGCTACTACAGCTACTACAGCTACTACAGCTACTACAGGTACTACAGGTACTACAGCTACTACAGGTACTACAGGTACTACAGGTACTACAGGTACTACAGGTACTACAGCACTACAGCTACTACAGGTACTACGGCTACTACAGCTACTACAGGTACTACAGCTACTACAGCTACTACAGCTACTACAGGTACTACAGATACTACAGCTACTACAGGTACTACAGGTACTACAGCTACTACAGGTACTACAGGTACTACAGGCACTACAGCTACTACAGGTACTACGGCTACTACAGCTTCTACAGGTACTACAGGTACTACAGTGCTACAGCTACCACAGGTATTATTGCGTCTACTAGGGCGCAGCCACTACAGCACTAACAGTGGTGGGCGGTGGCCCGGGACATTTTGGGCAGTCTTACACCAAGTACTACCCCAAATACCGTATACGAAAGCATTAAGCGTGTAGTACCCTGGAGTGCCTACTACTTCACACATGATAAATCATATTATCCCGTGTTGCGCCAGAGCACTCCACTAAATGCCATTCCGAAGCAGGAGCATCTTAAGGCAAGAAGGGAGTTAAATAGGCAGGAAAAAGACCTCATGATTGAGTGGGCGACAAATAATGGGAGGGCTGCACGACAGTGCGATGTAGAAGGCGTAACAGTCGTAACGGTCGTAGCAGACTTTATCTTTAGGATAGTCTGATGTTCTGTACATGTTTAACGGCAATGTTCCGGCCTTGAACATGGTGGTCTCTTGTCTCACACTTGGCAAGTCTCATTCAGCCCTAACACTGTCGAAGAGGAGACTGTCACTTCTGCTACGACCGTTACGACTGTTACGCCTTCTACATCGCACGAGCCATTGAAGATGTTCAAGTAGTAGAGGAAGCCGAGGTAGAAGAGGAGGAAGAGTCAGGGGCACCCAACGATAATATAGTTCAAAACCACTTAAACATAGCATTGTTAAACGTGTTTTAGTATTTAAACGGTCGATATGGGCATATTTTTATCCCCTATAAATTTTTCATCTGTTCGGATTTCCTAGCTGAAAGTCTAGTGATCCGAAAATTATAGGGATCAAAACTTACCTGTTCGAAAATTTCAGCCGGAAAAAAGGCTCCCGAAAATTCAAGGTGACCTTTTTAGGGCAAAAATCCGTTGAAAATGGGCGATTTTACCATTTTTTAGATGTTCGAAAATCCTAGGAGAGGCAGGCAAGCAAGAAATTTTACAACAAACGTTCCGAAAATTCTAGATCTCAAATCGTCTTCCGAACAGATATTTTTCCGAAAATTGTCGTTGGGTGCCCCTGAAGAGTATGACACTGACTCAGACGCTGAATATCCTATTGCTGACAATTACGAGGTAGATTCTTTAGACGATTTGTTGTTTCTTCGGGCAGTTACAACGCGAAGTGGACGAATGGTCAGAGTCGTCCATCGAGAGTGATTTAGGTATGTGATTTCCGATAAGCAGCCTTTACTTAGCCTTCAACGATTTTGCTTTCTTCAAACACTCTTTCTACCGTAAGACAAGGTTATTAAAACGAGTACCTTACTTGTTTATTTTCGTGATTCGGGAAAATCAAATTTTGATAGCCGTGATCCGTGATTCGCCTTTTTTTCTGTTCGTGAACCGTGCGAGAGACCCCCTCCCCCTGTACGACCCTCTTAGCTAGTTTTGCGGTTTAAAGAAAGGAATAAATTGAAAAGGTATATTTGTATTGTATTTATAGATTTTCACCACACGAAATTATATCCTTTTCAAAATCTCAGCCTGGAGTTTATTCTTAAAGTTTTCTTAAGATTTCGCAAATTTCAGCCTCGATATTCTTATAAAATATATTCTTATAGAAAAAAAAGAGTGTATATTCTCGATGGGTGCCCCCGTATTTCTGCGTCGGTCGAGATGGATTTTCGAGATTTTTTGTTGTCAAGAGAGGAGGTTGAGTTGACTGAACTGGTCGATGTCCTGTTTCTCTTTTTTCCTAATAGTTCAGTTATGAATTCGGCCATTTGCCGTTACGGGGACCTCGGATATCAGAAGAAATTGCGGACAGCCCCGGTAAGCGTCTTTACGAAGTCTTTACGCCGCTTTTGCTCGTTCCAGTTCTCTGGGGAGGGCGTTTTGGAACTTTAACCAGGGTGTCTCATACATGAAGCACTTACTTCCTTCTAGAGGAAGTGTGGAAGACAGTTGAAGAGTTTGGACATTTTTTTGAAAATTTTGCTTTGGTAAGCAAATTCAACAACTCAATGTGCACTCTTTCAATGAAGACTGCCAAAGCAGAGTTTCAACTCTAAGCTTAGTTTTGAACTATTCTGTGTCTCTGTAAAATGCGTAAGCGCTTCAAACCAACTCTTCCAAACGCACGAAGTGGTCGTCGCACGGACGTAAGTGCCGGTGAAAATGTTTCTTTCAATAACTCTTCATCATCAGGTACGAGGCTTTCAGAGCAAACGACAGAGGCCAAGGAAGGTATTTTTTTTTTAAATGCGTTTTCTAGCAATAGGTAGGGACAATGCTTTAAGGAGACACGAAACAACCCTAGAATAATAATGTACTTCAATTCAATTCAATATTCTATGATTATTGGGCTATTGCATTTTAGTAAAATCCAGCTAGTGGTGTATTGTCAATGCTGCGTTCTGATTGCTTGAGCTACTACTAGGCTTTATGTTATATCCCACTAGTAGCGAAAAGCGTCGGCTTTTTGGCGGCAAAAAAGGATTAAAGTCTAGCTTTAACTAGCTAAAATTTTTTTATTCTCGATATTTTTGACCAACTAGTTTGATTTTACTAAAACAATTATTCCTCTCGCCCTCATAGTCAATAGCCCATTCAGCCTTCGGCCTCATGGGCTATTGACTCAGAGCCCATTTGGGCTCAAGGAATAATTGTTAAATAATATCCGCACCCCCCACCCGCACCATGGAATTCTTCAGGGTTGAATTGTTAAAAATTGAGGATTTCTTTAGGGGTAGAGTAAAAAAATATGGAATTCTTTGGGGTTGAAGCTTTAATTTTCACGAAATTCTTCAGGGGTAAGCCCACATTGGAAGTCTTAACAAATTAATAATAAATTAAAAATTTCTATAGCACTCTTTCCAGATGTGATCAAAAGTGCTGTACAAAAATTTCATAATTATAAAATTAAATACAATATTGAAAGGAGAAAAAGTAAAAAATAAAATTTAAAGGCCAGTGCGGTGCAATTCATAGGTGAATGCAATTTAGCCAATCTTCAGGGGTAAGAAGAAAATGTAAGTCCTCAACCTGGGGCGTACTGATATTAAATGCAATAGCCCATTGTTGTACATGTGTGTGGGGTCTCCAAACTAGCAAGAGCTTACTAGTTGGACACCGGCATGTTCTAGTAACAGCAAAAAAAGCAACCACAACAACTACTTAAATTAAATCATTGATAGATCTAAGCAGAACAGCAGTCAATCAAGTTTGATTGATCAAGAAATATTATTATCTTCTTACATGTCATTTATGTTGATCTATCTTCCTTTTTCTTTCCTCTGCTTAGGGACCGATCGTTTATTACATCCTGGGAGTGGGGGGGGGAGGGTGGTTGGAGGGGGGGTACAATAATAAATTTGCTAAGAGGCTTGATTTTGGGGGGTCACTTTTAAAAATGCACAAAATGTGAGAGGGGTTGAAATATTACGACACAGGACTGGCCTTCTATGAAAAAGTTGTCAAACTACCGGTATATTATGATTGAAGCAAAATATTAATAGAAGTTTCCTTCAAAAGTAGACAAAATAATTTCCTTTGGCATTTCTTTGTCAGCAACAAAATGTTATCCATATAAAGCTTGGCCCAGAAACCTATCAGCTATTTCTACTACCAGGAATATAGCATGCATGTGCGCACATGCGCCTATGTATACAGCGGAAATCTGGGAAAAAAAATATAGATAATTATAAATCCTGAAAACATTTTTATCATTAAATTGGCATAAACGTAAGAACTAAAGGATGTAAGAAGAATTTAAGAAGAGTTTCGGACAAGATACTAATCTTACAAAACGTCTCAGAAAGAGCTTTGGGGATAAGTATTGGGATAATAATTTGGGAGTAGTTATTTATTTTATTTGGTTAATAATAATAATAATCTTTGTAGAGGATACTCCCATCACATTGAGTGGTTTTCAGGGAGGTCCTCTGACTAAAATAATAATACTTTACAATCAATTTTAAAGATTTAACTTTAATGCAGGTACAGTTGATACTGCAACAGAGGCAATGGTCACATCCGAACAAGAGCAAGATGAAACAGCACTTTGTAAAACACCTTCTACACCCTCAATATCTGCAGCAGGCTCATCAAGAAGATCACGCATCAAGCCAGCAGTTGTGCCAGTGGCTCGTTCTCGAACAAATAATGCCGGCAAAGGTAAAACAACAACTGGGGCTAGACCTGCAGCTGCAGACCAAAAGGAAACAAATTCGTCAGGTTCAAAAGTCCATAAATCATCCAACAATGTAGACAAGCCATCATTATCCAGTGAAGAAGGTAGACAGAAAGGTATTGTAATAATGTTTTTCTTTCACTGAAAAATATTTTAACGATAATGAACTAAGACTGTAAGATTACAGAAGTTAGTAAGTTGCTTTGGCTGTAATCTTACCATCTTCTATATCACTGTAAATATTATTTTTTATACATCTTTCCATCTTGTATACTATTCTATGTCATGCCTGGTCAGACAATCGTACACCAATACAGGGGTACTACATATGTTAGTCATTAGTGCAACTCATTTTAAATTTAGGGGGTGTTCCTTGGTGTTGTGGATATGGACAGCCATTTGTGCCAAAGTTACGAATGGCTGGTGTAAATCTAAAATCGTTAGTGCAGAATTACTAATCGTTGGTGTTAAACTGCAATCTAAAGTGCAAAATCACTAATTGTTGGTGTTAAACTGCAATCGTTAGTGCAAAATAACTAATGTTAGATATTAAACTGCAATCGTCACCGTTAAAGTATAAATGGTTTGGGTATTGTTCAGTGTCTTTTATAGCCTGTGAGCAAGCTCTTCGGGGCACTCTGGCGGTGTCTTTTCTATCCGCTGTGATACATTATTTGGTGATCACACCTGGCCGGTCTGCAACACTAAGAAGCTACCAACTTCAGAGGTGAATCTGAAATCTACAACTTTCAAATAATCAATTCCTTGATGATGCCCTGTTAGGTTAAAATTCCAACTAGCAATATGGCCTTGAAATGGCAATATCAGCAGCGTGCAAAGAAAGTAGTGTCCAATAGCCCGGGGCTAGTGGATTTTGCTATCAGGCTAGTGAATTCTGTTCTTAAGGTATCTGCACCGGCAAATTCTGCACATTTTCGGTGATACACTGACATCCAGTGTAAGAGTATTATCTACATGTTAGACAACAACATTGCTTTTTGGTCCATAAGGAACAAAACTAGTGAAAAAATTGTAAGGCTACGTCACTCTAAAGGTGTTATTTTAATTACTCCCTGGGGGTGGCATGGAAAGAGAAGAATTCAAATTTCACAAAAACCACAACAGTTTGTGGGAAAAATGAAATGCAACACAAACAGGGACGTAAAAAGCAACAATCCTGTGTTTGACCAAGACACAGCTCCGAGAAATACGCCCTCTAGAGGGCAATTTGTTGTTTTGTAATTTGATCCCTTTTTGGAAGGTTTATTCAAAAAAGAACACCAGATATGCATATTACATCATCTGAACTTACTGTAGAAAGATTTTGAGGGCAAAATAAAATGTTGAAAATTTGCCGGTGCAGATACCTTAACTTGCCCAATGGGTAAGTGAAGTATTTTCAGGAATTCATCTTACCGAAGAACTGTGAAATCAATTCTGCTCATCAAAAAATTTGGGGGGCCAGTTGAAATGACATTTGGGCTAGTACAATGCAATTGCTAGCTTCAGCTTGCCCAAATGGCAAGCTGTAAAAATTACTTTCTTTGCACCCTGATGAGACAAATGAAATGGCAACAAATGACATAAAGATGCGTCGAGACTAAAATGCTGACAAGGACATGGCTCCCCCTCAGTACATGAAACAACAGGTTTTGAAATTTTAGACTTGGGACATACCTACCCAGCCAAAGAGGGCCTCATTAAGTGAACCTTGGGCGGTACTCTAGACCTGGCCTATCTGTAAGTATGATAATTATTACGGTTTGATCTTCCACCAGATTCAACTACTGAGGAAATCTCAAAGTCACCCTCCCTAAAAGAGAGAAGTCAACAAGCTAACCCCAGATGTACAACAGTGGTCAGCCCGTCGGTTACAAACTCTGAAGAAAGATCTCAGCCTGTAGCAGATCAACCAGTAATAAAACCGTCACAATCACAAAATAAACACACAACCTGTGACAGTGGAAATGAGAGTGGAGCACCATCATCACTGCCACGCCGTAAGCGAGTTTTACCCAACCTGGGATCAGCTTCAAGGAGGAGACATTCTTCTGTCTCCAAGGAAAATGTTGAGAAGATTGTTGTAGCAAGATGTGAAGAAATTTCTACTACTGAAAAAGATATTGGGCATGTCAGTGTAAGTACATGTAAGGACGACATTAAAGCACTTTTTTTAAGTTTTGAATTGATGGGGTTTTTTTTGTACATTTGTGCAGTTATTGTTATTTATTTGAATCTGGAAATGCACAAACTTTTATTTCTTTTCTCTTACGCTTTTGTTATCTGTTTTTAACCAAACAAAGAAAAAGAAAGAAATATTTTGTGCACCTGTATTACTTTGTAAGCTGTAATTGGGATATTTTAATCCATTCACTCCTGGAGATTTTGCCAAAAAACGCGTTTTCAAGCTAGTCGAGTGGTTTTCTGGTCACTGTCGTGCTATAAAGAGCTAAAACTTACCACAAACCGGTTTACAGGTCGTACACTTCGCGGTCTTCTGATCCAGATGCAAAATATCAGCTTGCGAAGTTCGTGCATGCGCAGAAAGCAAAATTTCGAGATAGTTTTTGGGTTTAAAAGTGACACAGCAGTCTTGACTTTTACTTTTCGCTTTCTCTCCTCCCTTCTTTTTTCGCTTTTCTTGCCTCATTTTTTTTTCTCTTGCTGGGCATTTAGTAGGCTTCATTTTGGTGGGAAGAGTTTTTAGGAAAGCTTTTAGGATCTTAGGATTAGGTGAAAGGAAAGGTAGGTGGGCAATGGAACAAGATTTTCATGGAGATTTTCAGGTCAATGTCACGTGGTTTTTTGCTTCTTTCTCCGGTGTCCTTGACTGAATTGTGCTCATTCTGGTATGGTTTGAAAGATCTCTTCACTCTGCACAAGTTAGCGAAGAAGGTTGACCTTGACCGTTAAAACTGATGACGTCACAAAGGGTAGAAAGGACCTGGATCGGCACGGGTGGTTACGGGCAGTTCAGGGGCGAATGGGTTAAACAAATCCTTCCCCCAAAATGAAGCTGCGCTGACTAGTCCAAAAAATAAAATTTGATGTGTCACAGCATTATGGCACTTAAAATAGGGCAATGAAAGCTTTCTTTTCCCTGTTCCCTGTTTCAGGAGGTAGCGTGGCCGAGTGGTCAGCGCGTCGGACTCGCAATCCGGCGGTCCCAGGTTCGAGTCCCACTCTGGCCACTTGCTGGATTTGTGCTCGGTCATCCCGAGTTCAAATTTTCGGCCACGCTTGTAAATAGCCAACTGGTCGCCTTCTGCCAGTTGGGATTTTTAATCCTGTTATGTTGTATTTGAGTTATTTGTTTCTAAATATTTGAGTGGAGTGCCTGTAAATTAGCTGGACAAGCTAAGTGCAATTTCCACTATAAACAAGCCTTTAACCTTTTTTTTTTTTTAATCTTATTTGGTTGAGGGATGAGAAAGGGTTCTGACTGTTAGAGTTGTTCGCTGAATATATCACATTGTGTAATCCCAGAAAATATCCATACTTACCCCATGTAGGGGATTGTGCTGAGCTCAAAATGGGGAGCATCACTAGAGTGTCAGTTCTCAGTTTTTGTTCCTAGTTGATATCAAGTACTTATGGTCCATGTTTAATTATTTGAAGGAACAAAGTCCAGTAGAGTGCAGTGCAAGCAGGAACAAACGATTGCGGAGTTTGCCCCAGGAAGAAAATACAGCAGATAATGGGGAGTCCCCTGGTGGTGTTGACTTAGCTGACCATGAAAAGGACGATATTGAAGAGGAGGAAGAGGATAACAAAAGAAAGGTATAACAAAAGCTGTACATGCAAATTTTAAATATTAAATCTGTTGACACAAAACCCTTTGGACTGAACATCACAAGGTATCAGCCTTTTTTCAATTTTATAAAATTACAACAGCTATCAAAGAGGAAGTTTCTCCTTGGCTACTATCAGGGACTGCAGAACATATTTTGGTTCAGATGGGCTAACTTGCATGTAGTGTGAGCTTATCTACGTGGGTCAGATAACATGTTTCCCTATAGCCTGAGAAAACAGCCAACATTTTGTGATGCCACCACTGGTTTCCCCACGAAGCTAGGCACGAAAGCGTTGCCAATCAGATGGTCTACGATTCATTTCAGTTTGAAATGTTTTAATATCAAAACCTACAGGCAGTTACAAGTAAGGCCACATTTTGTATCATCTCAAAGTTTTTAGAAAAAATGTAGTTTTTAAGGTGGTGCAGTGGTTTTAAAGCAACTTTATTAAAAGCATGTTTTGCAAAAATACGTAAATACTGATCCTTCACAAAGTGAATTATGCGCAACAGTCTACAGGTCACAGAGTTTAAATTTTGTTCGCGTATCAGTCAAGGTAAATCTTTATCATTGATTCTTGAAAATGCTCAAGAATTTTGGCATGATACTTACAGTGTTTAGGCCATCGCACGCTACAAGAATCACATAGCACGCGATGCAATTCACGTCTCGTGAGAGGGTGGTAATTTACTTTTGAGTGGTACTGTAAATCACAGACACCTCTGGCAACTGGGAGCCTATTAGGCAGCAGCCTTGAGTATGGAATTTCTGTCCTCGTTCCTCAGATATCATTTTTGCAGGGAAACCAGTTGTGGCATCGTGAATTGTGGGCTGTTTCTCTCGGGCTAGTTTACCCAGGAAGATATGAAAACTAGAGCATCTAAAATCACAAGAAACAAATTCATGTCTATCAATCATGTGAAAATTTTGTCAAATTCCTTCAACATTCTGGATAAAAATGTACATTTAACAAACAGAATTGCGTTTGCTCTGAACCCAAAGATTAGAAATACTTCTGTAAATGCAAAAAAGAACTTCCTGGTGAAACTTTTGGTGGTGCTACGATGTATAGCCCACCCAGCCCCATAGCTCTGCAATCCCAGACCATGAGCATGATTCCTGGCTACTTTCATTGGAAACAAAAGGAAACTATCTGAGTCAAAAGACCTTTAATTCCTAGATGTTCAGATCCCCAGGTATTAATATTGCATTTATCCAGCAGCTTGAAATTTTTACAACTACCCCGGATGACTTATTACTCTGTTTTTAAGGAAAGCAACTCCCTGCTCAACTGCACTATCAAAATAATTCTTGTGTGCTGAAGTTTCTGACAAACTGAAAATTTCTACTGTTTATTTCAGGGTTTGAAGAGGAAACGAGGTAGCAAGCCTCCTAAACCAAAAGAACCTTCAGATCCCAGTCAGATGACTATGCAACACTTAATTTACTTCAATCCCAAGACTAACCCTATGAGGTAAATCAGTCAGTTGTGTTCTGGCATAAAATAAATATAAAGAACAGATTTTGTAGATCCTCAGGGTGTAAAATCTTCATTTTTTTCTAAATCATAGATTTTGTTCATGTACAACATCTTTCCCGTTGAAGCTCTCGTAAGTGGACACTCTTGAAAAGCATAAAGGATGTTGGTAACGAGCTGGCCACTTAAGGGAATGTAGAAATACGGAGTGTGTATGGGAGTGGACAAAAATGGGGTTTTGTGGAGACGCTTTAAGTAGAGCTGTCTGCTTTCGAGATTGTCTGTTAGGAGAGCCTCCACTGTACGCACATTCTTATTGGCATATAGGTAGCTACACCCCTGAGAACAAGCTGAGACTCAAGTTTTTTCAAGCCCTGTTTGTAACACCAAAAAGTAAACTGGAAAATTTGGCTTGTGATACTATCCAAGCTTGCCTTGGATAGAAAAGACACTTGCAGATATCTTATTCAAGGTGGTAACAAATGATGGCTTGCTCAAGGTTCAGTTTTGGTAATTTAAGCTGAGTTGAGGAGAGGTCAGCGTAACATGTACTGTGTAGAGTTCCATTTGTTAGGTCAATGGCAGGAAAGCCTACTGAGATGTAGAAATATTGCAATTAAGTTATCACTTTATTCCAATATGTATTTACCATATGTGACTATTTTCTATTCTTTTTTGTTTGTAGTTCAACTGCAGCAGGAAGAAAAAAGAAAAATGATGAGAAAAGAAAAAGCAGCAAAGGAAATTCAAAGTGAGCTTAATATAAAGTAGTTCAACAGGGTAAAAAATAATGAAATTATTCAGGTTAAAAATTGATTCCAAAATGGTAAGGCTGATTTCCCTGTTGGGAATAAAACAATTAAACCAAAAAAAGTTATTGCGAATTGGTGATTACCTGCAGTGCACAGATTTCAACGGGTTGATACACACTTTAATTTGGGATTGTCTTTGCTATATATACATCAGTGCAAGGCTCTGTAGTGGAAGATAGGGCAAAATAGAGGTCAAGAATGTGTAACGAGACAGGAAAATATGAAGCAGAAGGGAAAGCCTGTAGAGAATTTAAGACTTGATTCCACACCCACCCTCTTGTTGTTATCCTGCTAAAAAGATTGTGATCTTAAGTTAGATGCACTGCCAGATTATAATGTCATGTGAGAATGATAAAACTTTGCATAACAGTCCTGCGTTGGGGACAGTCAAGCCCATTTGTGAATTTTGTAGGTTTTTGAGGTGTTATACATCATAAAAACTTGCACAACTTGTGGATGCATAATTTAGGAAAAAGCAAAAAGAGCAATAAAATCTCTGACAGCTGATGACAGGTCTGTCATTAAGAGCCGGGGCCGGGGATTTCCCTCAGCTTCTATGAATGTGGTCCCTAGTTACTTTCATCGGAAAAAAGAAGAAAAGTAGAACCAAAAGAAATCCCTAGCTGTTTGATTCCCCACCTGTTGTATTTATCCGGCAACTTGAAATCTTAGTGACGACCCTGTGATGTGTGCAAGTCGTTCACCTTGCTCACTTGATTGAAAAAAGCAAATTGGTTTGCATTATGTAGTGCCTCCAGCAGTCCAGTCTCTTGATCGAGTGATAAAGAAATCACAGTTTCACCACCAACTCTTTGCTACCAAGCAATGAAGCATAAAGTGGTAGCTGTGCTAATTTCAACAGACTTCATCACAAAACTCATAACCATAAATAAGTTTTAGGTCATACCAAAATAATTAAAATAACAACTTGCTCCCCACCTTAGAAATGTCTGTACAATTTTTGCGACTTTGGGGGGTATAGAATGTATCTTCGCTTCCTTTAGATGAATCACTTTCAAACTTAGCAAGTTTGCTAGCATTAAGACACTCTTTTCAGCAGTGTCAACAAATTTTCACCAAACAATCCTCATCAAAACTTTTTAAAAAACCTGGAAGGGTCTAATGTTTAATAATTAATGAGTTCTATAACAATTTTCTTTAAAATATTTGAAACTAAGAGTCACTGTCTCATCGGTCCATTTCAGAAATAAAGAGCCAGCGGGAGAAACTAGTGCTGCAATCAATCAAGAAGCCGACAGTGGGTCACCAACGAGAACAAATCAACAACAAAACAGCAAAGAGACGCAGGGAGATGATGAAGCTGATGCAAGTACTACTGTAGCCCCACGTGTCAAGCTTGATGCTGATGGAAACATAATTGTGGATGAAGAAAGGTGCCAGCCAACTGTAAAATTGCTTTGTTTTCTGAAATTGAAAAAAAAAACTGTTGATTTAAGTATTCTTTCTGCAGTTCCCAATTACAAGAATTTTGGCCTCTCATTGCTGTTTCAGAGATTCTGACATTTAATAAATAGATTCCATGTTGCCGAGCATCTGTTCAGTAATAGATCACAGATGACGTCAAAATGTGGTGACAACAAAGAAGTGGCAGGCAAGTGTGAGTCACTGATGTTTTTTCCACATTTTGACGTCTTCTGTGATCTATTACTGGACAGACCCCCTGCACACACCTACCACATACCGCTTGACCTGTTCGAGGGTCTGTGCTAGTTTAAGCTTTTTTTAATTCCCAATTTAATTCTTTATCCTACTTTTATATAGTTTCTGTGAAAAGTTTTTCATTGCCTTTCCTTGCTCAAAGCAGAAAAAAAGTGAAAACACTTTGCAAAACAGTGGGTCTCTTGTAGTGATGACACACAATGGCAACTGTAGTGAAGATTTCTTCATGCTGTTTAGGCATTCTCAAGTTGTCAAGAACTCCTCAAAAAAGCTCCTCCTACAAGAGTTTAGCTCGTGCTGAACTTTTTTTAGGCTTTCACTTGCTTAATCTGAAATAACGCACAAACATTTTCAAAACCACGTGCGTAGTATCTATAACATTAAAGCCGCATGCAAATGGACACGACATCGTTGGATTTTCCATGTTGTGTCCTTTGCACATGCTGTTGTATGTCATTGCGTGTTGTTGGGAGTTGTTGTGCAAAGTTTGAAACCGGTCAAACGTTTAGCCAGATCCAAATGGACACAACAACTCCCAGAATTGTTGGGTCAACAATGTTGGGAGTTGTTGTGTCTATTTGCACAAAGCTTTAGTAACGAACTTCTGTTGTGTTGCAGTCTTTTGATTCCGAAGGCACCTGAGGAAAACCTTGCTGAACGGTGAGTTGTGAGAATTGTTCTCTAACCAGCTATGTTTCTTGAACTCTTGCTTGTTTCTTAATTTTGAGCAGCACATCCATTAGAGAACCCTGTACCCACAGACCAAGTTCACCATTATCTCAGTTGAAAGGAATTAAAAAGTCAGTTGGAAAGTTATGCAGTCACTTATATTAGATTCTATTTTAGTAATAACAGTCTTGCTTTGTCGTAGTGAAATTGTGTATGAAGATGCAGATGAAGTTAACTACCTTTCATACTTGAAACCAAGAAAGGTTGGAAGATGGTCACTTGAAGGTATGCTCAGTTCTGTAAAATTAAGTAGAAATCAGCCAATAGATAGAAGATCTCAGTGGAGGTCACACAGGGAAAAGCTTGTTTAAAGTCTTTATTATTAATTTTTGACATTCAAAATCCCCACATATTGAAGTCCATATAAGAGCCGTTCAATTTTAAATTTTTAATTTAGGGCTCTGAAAGCCCTTGATAACTTGGTGCTTGTCATACAACTTTGAAAATTTGTATTTTGACTGTTTCCACAATCAGGACAAAAAAAATGATTTGATACACTTCACCCTATCAACTGGGTTTTTCTATGTTTTACTGACTTCAAAAGAACGAAATATAACTTTTCCTCCCCCATCCCCTCCATGCAATGTTGTGCCAGTGTTCGAGCTACCTTTAGAAAACAACAAACACCCCAACTTTGAATGGAGGGGACAGGGGAGGGGTGTAGATTCTTTTGTTCTCTGAAGTTATCCTATTTGAGTACAATGTCTCAACAATTTTGTCACCAGTTGTAGATTTTCAGGAGGTTTTATACTTGTTTTATTAGGCAGATCTCCTTTAAACCCGTGCATGATACTAATACCATCAGCTCTTGCCTTGTGGATACCCCGCTTTAACAGACACCCCTATAATACAGACAGCAGTTAATCCCTGGCAAAAACAAATTACATATGTTTGACTGAAATAAACTCTCGCTTATTACAGACTCTCACTAATGAGGACACTAGAGCGAGGTCCCTACAGTGTCCACTTAAGGGAGTTGACTGTGTCTGTGTGGTTTTGTAGTGCATAAGGACTTGAAAAGAACTTATGTCCTTGAAATCTCTTGGTCCAACGAGCAACACATAGTAGACTGAATGGAGGATCTGGATGCATGAGAAAATTTGACATGACTAACTGCCTTTATATCCTTGATGAAAACCACATTTAAACCCTTCAAACTGAATAGAGACCAGTAAGTATGCCAAACAACACAGCAGTTTTCAGTCCCACTTCTCACCCTACAACCTGAAAATATTCAAGAGCCACTGTTTCTTCTTGCAGAGACACAGAAGTTCTACAAAGCATTAAGTCAAGTGGGAACTGACTTTGGCTTGATGCTGCCACTTTTTCCCAACAGAATAAGAAAAGAGCTCAAGGTTTGTTCTATAGTTCCTCTTGTCCAGATGCTGTACTTTGAATGGGGGTGATGCCAAGTTAGTACACAAGGAAACAAAAAAAATGGCCACATTGTTACATGTTTCTTCCCACGTGGCCTGCAAATACAGAGCTATGTCTGAGTGGTCAGGGGAGCTCAGTGACTGATTTTTGTAAAACATCTGTTCAAAAAAGCCAATATTAACCAGAATTTTCTATAGCTTGAAGGCTGCTAAAAATTTCTAGATGACTGTTCCCTTCATGTATGATTTTTTAAGCTTATCTAATAAATCCCCTATGATTTGCATCCAAAAAAAAGTTTAGGAGCAAAATATGTCTAGATTGGCAGGCCATCTTCAGGGCTCTCTTTTGTTCCAAAACCTGTAATAATCTTTTTACTCAATAACTTCTTGAATTCACCGTGCATGCTAGGGGTTTTTTAAATATCATTAATTTGTACCTCTGTCACCTCTCAGGCAAAGTTCAAGCTACTTGGCACACTCCCAAGTAGATTTAACACAACATGGATGGTATTAATTTTAACATTGTTCAAATACAGATACAGTGAAAACCTATAAGTAAGGACCTACATTTTTTGAGGTCTGGCAAAAAGGGTGTTCTTTATTATTTTGGCGTTAGTTTATGGGCGATTTAGGCGAGTAAGATTCTTAATTAGTATCTTAATTTCTATGAAACAGATTTTGTTCATGACTACCAGGGGATTGTACACGTAGGTTGAGAATTGGTGATAGCCAGTCTGCACACATTGCACAGGCTGCCCAGGGTTTTGCAAATTTTTTGTTCTTCCACAACATCATTTTGCTTTTTCGCTGATTGTCCATTGACATTTTCAGGCCAAATTCAAGCGAGAAGAAAAGCTACACAGAAGTTTGGTAGAAAAGGCTCTTCGTAAGTAAAATTAGAAGGAAAGTAGCTATTTCCTAAACTTCCGTGTTGTTAGAGAATATTTAAGAACACAGGCATGAACATAAAACCTTCAGTATACAGAGATGTGGCTGCAAAAAAAATCTTTGCATTTTACCATGTCTTGTGACCATGCTTCTTAAAACAAGTTGGCATATCAATATTCATATTGATGATCATGAAGTATTTCTTTAATAATTAATTTCTCTTACAGGTGTTCGCAATCCTATTGAAGTGGAGTTGTTTACCCCTAAAGATGACAGAGAAGAAATCGATGACGATGTTGATGTGGCAAGTACAGACAATAGTAATCCCAGTGAAGTGCTACAAAACAGTTTGGAAACATGAAATTTAATATTGCTTCTACTCAAAATGGCCGTTTGAGCATGTCAGAGGAACATGAGACCATGTGTCATGCCTTATTTCAGACAACTAGCAAGCTTAGCAGAGTCTATTTTTTTTTTGGGATCGAGCATTACAGATCTTTGTTTTGCTTTTGATTCCACTACGTTTCAAGCTTTTAGAGTAAGGAATACAGACATATTTTACAGATCACTCAAAATATACTGAGATTCTGCATGTCATGATCCATTGTATATAAGAGATATGGAAACTGTAATTCACTTCCTTGGTGAATTAACAGGAAAAAAGAATTTACGTGAAAAAGAATTAATAAAGAAAGTGTTTGTTTATGTTTGTTCATGTTCATTTAGATTCATAGCCTGAAAGTCCTGAAACATGATAATTGTTCACAAAAAGTGTTACAGTACTTCAGGTATTATTTAACTTTGTAGTATTTATAGCAGAAAAAAGAATGTAGAGTAGGATTAATAGGATTACAGGTCCTTTTAACTCATTTTTCTAGTGACAAAATTATCCTGGTCAGTGTACATTTTGCTGCATAAGCAAGCACTCTTTTAGCTTGTCCACAGACGTTTTTCTTTTCTTTTTCTTATTTTGCTCACACACACTGAGTGATCTCTGAAGAGAAAATACAGGGACTGTGAAGAGGCTAGCACCCTGAGCTCTCAAGCGAGCAGTAGAGGCAACGGTTTTCCACACCAGCAGTCAAAACCTAAAGCTGCTGAAATGGGATTGGACAAAGATTATGTTGTAATTCTGTTTCCTTTCCCTACCCTAATCATGTGGTTGACTCTGCTGGCTGTGCATTTAAGAGAACCCTAGCATAGAGAGCCTTCTCATGGGCTGTTCACTTCCCTATAGAGGCATCTGTCTACATTCCCTGCAACAACTCCCTCCTCTCATCCTCATTCTCTCACAAAAACTCAATCAGACTGGCTCTCTCACAGCTTGGGCTCTTGACTTGATAAGGAGCTTGCTTACTGGAGGAGGGTTCTTCACTTGCAGAGTATAACAAAAATGGAGACGAGCAGGGTGCAAACCAAACAGTCGGAAACAAGAGAACATGGAACAACAAAAGTTACTGTTCGAATGAAACAATGTTTCGAATCAAAGTGATTCATTTGCATTTCAACCAAAATTTTGATTACAGCTTCACAAAGTAGAACTGGAAATGGGAATTTTTGGAAATGGAGCGACAAATTTCAGTCAGACCGGACTGACCGGTCAAAGAGGACCACCTCTGGAGGCGGTGAATTTCCATGCAGACTAAAGCATTCCATTTATTTCTCAAAAGAAGCTTCTGAAAATTTTGGCAGAATTAAAAGCACCCATAGTTTACTGTTTAACTTCATAAAAATAAGATGTCTGAGGAAACTTAAGCACAAATCTTCTTAAAATGACACAAGGGATGATGATAAGGAATTTGTTTATTATAAAGATAAATATCTATTAATATTATATTATATTTTCTTAAGTTATTACACTCCCCTGTAGCATAGCTTTTTTTAGTAGATGGCAAGTTGAGTGCAGCCTTCTACAGTCCTTCATTTTGTGGAACTGTCATGAATTTTCTGGATGCAAAGAAAACCTCAAAATTAAAGATCCTTGAACAAAATGTGGTGTGAAAATTCAACAACTAATGGTTTCAAATGCTCCTTGGGCCTAGGCCAAATGTCGAACTTTTCATGAGATGAACCAAACTTAGTGAGTTAAGTTCATGAAAAGTTTGACGTCTGGCTCAGTTAAGTTCGTCTGAATGAGTTTGGATCATCCAAAACATTCTATTCATCTGCTCCAGACAGACAGAACATCTGAAGATCATTCCTGAGGCAAACGTCAATCCTCTCATGCGAAATACTAAACTGATAAATCAAAAATGTGTACGATAATATATATTTAGCCTCGTGCAGGAGACAGTTAATTAAAATTGAGCAAAAATTGCTTTTTGATCTGATTCAGTTGATTGGCTCAATGCGTCCTAAGTTAAACATCTGACCCAACAGAGGATTTTAACTTAGGTTGACGAAAATTAGAGTTTAGTTCATCTCATGAAAAGTTTCACGTTTGGCATAGACCTTACATTTAATTTCAAAATGAAGTCCTAAAATACAATAATTATTGAAATTTACATACATATATTTTAATATTTAAATACCTTTAAAGGGAACCTCCACTCTTACTACAGAATAAGTTTAAATCGAATAAAATTATGTTGATAAACAAATTTGTTCGAAATTTGTCTTAAAAAAAGTGTTTATATCAGGAAAAGTGTATTTTAAAATCGCTTATTTTCACTTTCAAATTTCGCGGGCGCCGCCATCTTGAATAATTGTGACGTGTTATGGTTGCTCTGTTGTTCTGACACAAAGAGCTTTTGTTTAATAACAATAGGGCAACCATTACACATCACAATTATCCAAGATGGCGACGCCCGCAAAATTTGAAAACAAAAATAGGCGAATCTAAAAGTTATTTCTTTCGGATACAAACGCTTTCTTTAAAAATATTTTAGATTGACTTGACTGTAACAGTTATTTCCTGTGATTTAAAGTTATCTTTTTGTTGAAGTGGAGGTTCCCTTTAAGCAGTCAGGATAAAACCAGTATTTAACCTGTTTACTTATAAAGAATTTAAAGACCTTTTTAAAAAAGTATATATCTACACAACCTTATCTCTGAAAGGTTTAAAATTAAATTGGAGTGTTATTCAGCTTTTGTCTTTTTAAATAAAATCTGTGCCACACCAACAAAACAATACTTCAAAGTAAAGTATAACAAAGCAGCAAGACCAAATAAGACAACAATCATGACAAACAACACATCCAGGAGATATAACTGAATGAAGGATAAATTATCACCCTCACTTCTTAAATGTAACCCTGCATTATTACGTAACCCATATTCTATCCAATCACACGCCTCCTCTGTTGGACTTATGCGTCTGTGACGCATCAGTTTTGAAACCTTCATTGCATTTTCCTTGTATTTTGGATTTGTAAGAACCTCAGTTATAACATCTGTTATCTGGACTGGAGTCAAATCTTGAGCCTCCAGTATAACACCCATCCCTGCTTCAAAAACTTTCATGGCATTGGCTGGTTGATCTCCAAAGAGGGGTAGCACAACCATGGGTGTTCCATGATAAGCACTTTCAAGAATGCTGTTTAACCCTCCATGCGTCAAAAACACTTTTGTATAAGAAAAGCCTAAGAGGTCGTTTTGCCTCATCCATGGCACAATCATGACATTTTCACTGACATATTGAGGTTGTTTGCCTTTATGTTTCCAGATGACCTTGGCGGGTACCTTAGCAAGACCTTCTGCAATGGTGTCCACAAAATGTGATGTGAAGTTTGAGATGACTGTTCCAAGTGAAACCAGCACTAACTCTTTAAAATTTCCCTGAGTTATGAAACATTCTGTTTTCAGGGGAAGCTGTTTAGGAGGGTCTGGAAGAATTGGTCCAACTATTTTCACATGGGCTCCAAAGGGTCTGGGAAAATCCAGCGCAAAGTCATTTGGAATTAGGAGTAAGCCAGTCGCCCTGAAAACCTCTTCGAGACTTGTAAATTTACTGTCTTTCGCGTAAGATCTCCAGAGATCCTCAAAGGGTGGAATAAAAGCAAATTTATGCATTACATACCCAAGAATGTATAGCATTACATTTTGGACTCTGTGAAGAAATTTTAACCTCTTGGGAAGTTTAACAGTTCCATGTGGAACATACGCAACAGGGGAAGGAAAGTTATGAATAAAACTCAGATAAGGGTCGATAAATCCACTAGGAGTCAAATCTACACGATTTACTTTGAGAAGATCCGCTACAATAGCACAGCATATGCTTGTGATCTCGCAGACAACCAAATCAACTTCCCTCAGGCTGTTCAAAAGCTCACTATGTTGCAGCAAACTCTCACAAGCAGATCTCCAAAACTCAATTCTTTCAGCGATACCCAATCTTCCTTCTACTTCTTTCAAGATGAGTTTTTCTAGATCTCTTCCTGAAATTGCACTGACATAAGACTTAACTTGCAGCCAGCCCAAGTATGCTCCCGTTTCTTTTAGTTCCTGTTGTTGCCAAGTAGGCACAACAAGGGTGTATTTGTAACCTCGTTTCACAAGTTCTCGACCGATTTTTACGTATACAAAACTGTTGCTTATTCCCGTGCCCGGTATCCCGATGATGTGAGTACCTACAGCTTTGCTGTCATCACAAGGAAGTAGTATAAAGGCTACACAAACAAACAAAATTACTTTCCTCATGGTACAGCTGATATTTGTTCCTTCCGCGTGCGCTTGACTTGCGCCTGCGATAATCACGCAACGACACGTAGTAATGTCACGCTAATCTAGGGTTGTGACAAGTAACAGCGACCCAAGGGAGGTTTTGTGTCCAGCGGTTTTCGTGAAAACAAGGGTTTATGGGGGGGGGGGGGGGGGGGCGGGGGGATGTCTCAATCCCGTGAGCGAGCAAAACCTCCCTTAGGTCGATGTTATTTTGCATTTGCCCTTTCGGGGAGGCGGCGGAAATAAATAGGCTAGATACACTCAAACTATCTTTTAACATTATTAACTGGTAGGCGTAGTCGATCCATGACAAGACGAGGCCATCGCAGTTTCCGAGAAAGTTTCTCCAGAACTGCCCTTCAATTTCAATGGTCGCTAAAACAGATAGCCTCCCCCGCAGGCGTTGTTAGGGCTTCGTAACAAAACAGACTACGCGCACAAAGATCCCAAAGGAGTAAGTCCTCTGTAATTCATTTTGTGGTCTTGGCAACGCAATTTCAACCACTGCCTTTGATTCAGCCTTCAGAACAAGCACTATTTTTTCGCTGTTTTTCAGGCGAAAACAAAGCGGACTTAGAGTGCGAGACACGCCTTGTAGGGGATGGGGAGTACCGCAAGCACATCGAAACACCATGGCTAACCGGCTGGAGACTAAGGTTGATGGGCAAATCGCGGTTGGTTCACGGTGTGGGCAAATGGTAAGCAAAATTTAGGACTGGTACAATTTCATTCCTGAATTGTAGTTCTTTACTACTTACATGGGCAAAACGGTCGGTGCACGGTTTAGGCACATGGTACGCAAAATTCAGGACTGATAAATTTCACCCCGGAATCGCGTTTACCCCGGCCACACGAATCGGTTCCATTTACCGGAAAACGACCGCGAAGGCCTGAAACTAGT